TTCTGTACCTCTACAAGTTTCGTGGCTGTAGTATATCTGTATATTTCGTACTTGATACTGAAGCAGACGCTGTGTGAAGTTCTAGAAAGCGGAAACTTCAACGTGCGACTCTTAGTAGACGTCAAGAACTCCAGACATCAAGAGTCTCACTGTTTCTTCAGTAGCGTTATCCAGGTCCTCCTTCGGCAATGCCAAAGCCTCGTTTGCCAATCCATGCTTGTTCTCGAAATCTCCGTCCTTGTATGGGAAGAAATGGCGTGCGTACATCGATCTTCAAAAGCCACTCCTGTCTCCTCGCCTCAATAACTCATGACCAGCCTTCCACCTCTCTTCAGAGTCCTCTTATTTGACATCCCAGTCAAAGTCTACCATGCCCGTCACCCGCTTGATGCTCTCAAACATTTCGTGCCGAGATATCAAGAAGCTCGATATATAGAACACGTCGTTTGAATAGCTCTGGACAGCGAAGGGGGCATCTTTCTCGTCGTCTGAGAGCCGCTTGAAACTGAGAAACGCAGCCAGACCACGACCACACTGGACCCAGGTGGAAGATTTCACCTTGATGTTACCACCATCAAGGAACGTGATTGACTTATTCCTGATGTCAAGACCGAACCGATCTGAACAACCGGCCAAGCTGTGTTCGTACCAGAAACCGCAAGACATGATGATCCATTCACTGACGCCTAGTTACTCAATCTCCTTCACTGCACCTTCAAAATGAGTGCCAAGGACGGTATCAGCTATCAAGAAGCTGTTCTTTGGGTCCGTCCCCCAGGTATTGGGCATGATTTAAGGAACACCAGCCTTAGCTGCGGCTCTGATGAGCTTCAGCTGAATGTCTTGACATACTGTGCTTTTCAAGGTGATGATAAGGTATTATTGTCCTTTTAGAGCCTCGACAATCTAAGCAGGTTAGCCTAGAGTAATTTCAATGAATTTAGAACCTGGTCTTGTAGAAGATTGTATTGGGTAGTACTTTTAGTCCTTTCTTATGCCTTCGCTATTTCGTTTCTGTTGTTTAATTAAGCTAGCTCGCTAGGCAACTGTCGCAAACCAAGCTTACTAAGAGTAGATATATTAGATCTAGTTCTATTTAGTTGTATATTATACTTCTACTTAGTGTCAGTTATTGGTATACTAGGTACTATCTAGGTAGGTAAAATTTAGAGTACCTACCTAGGTATCTAGCTTTTCTTTAGCTAGCTAATACTAGATTTTACCTTTCCAGCGCTTTGCCTTCATGAAAATAACAATAACAACAACAACACCTCGCTGTTAGGCCCCCCTCCTCTTTTAGTTCCTAATGCTATATTTAGGCTTTACTCCGTCCTTTTCTCAACAACCAACATGCTTCATTATCTTTATCTTTAACATTACCCTTGACTTTCTGACTTGCATGCTTGCTGTTTGATGCGACCTCTAGTGCAAAAATGGCGTAACTCTGGGCGTTGCTGATCCTTCGTTTTTCAGGTAGGTTAGAGCACCTATTGTTTTCCATTAGCTAGGGTCTCGACGAGATGTAGGTAGGTAGAGTGTACTACTTACTCAGAAGGCGTATATCCAAAATCAGAAGACCGATACGCACCCTTATTCAGTATCCAATATTTGAATCCTTCTACTAAAACAGGTAGGTGTGTCATTTCATGCAGCAGGTAGAACCCAGCCGAAGATCGCATCATTCCACGGTTCGCCCATTCTGATTGTGCATACTGTTCTGCTGTATCTTTTCCATCAAACCCCTCTTTGGTAAAAGCTATAGGGCAGATAACAACAGTATTAAACTCTTTAAGGGCATACGCTATTCTATTGGGTTTGTCGCGGCAAGTTGTTGCCTCTTCAGGTATCATTCCGCAGCCGAAATGTATAATGTCATCGCTTTTTTGAACTTTAGGCACAAAGCTGGCGATAGTAGAGCCTAGTGCGTGAATAGGGCGAAAGACATTCAGTTTTATATCAGCCGCCAAATTTCGATTCGTGTCTAGAATGAATCAAGACATTGTAAGTCTTTTTATCCACATTATAGCTTTGATTGGGATTGGATTGGAATGACTTACAACCGAACCAATTGACGAATGCAGCTGTATGGCCAGCGTCGTGTTGGCCAAGAAATTCAGATGCTGATCCGGCGTAATAATGCATCCATTTCACAGCATTCTGAATGGCAGCAGTCTTTTTTGCGTCGCAGAAGTATGAGTTGACTTCGCCCTTTTCGTTAAGGGGGGTTGAGACAATGGCCAGCTTCGGTATGCCGGGACTTCTCGCGTGTAGCAGTTGGGGTTCCAAAGCAGCTGCACCTTGACCCAGCGATTCCAAACCAAATGCCCTTGGTGCTTTTGTCCGAATCTAGACATTCGCTGGTCTACTGTAAAAGTACGAAACAGTTTCAAGCAACCAGCTTGTGTTTAGTAGCCTCAAACTAGCCCGGTAGTACTCGCACCGGAATAATTAGACGAGGATACGACTCAGGCACAACACGGAGAGGGTATGAATATACATATATATGTATATATATTTAATTGAACGTGGCATGTCGCTGTAACGGTGAACCGCCATGAGACGTGATTACACGATCATTAAAAAAAGACATAATTTCAGCCGCTTTGAGGTCCGTCCAAGGGGCTGACAGTTGGGTCCCAGCAGACTGGGGCATACTCATCAGTTTCCAGGGTCTTCAAGTCCTCCTCCGACAGCTGGAAATCGTAGATCTTCGTGTTGTCGACAATACGAGAAGGGGTAACACTCTTGGGGAGGGGAATGTATCCTTTCTGCGAGCTCCAGCGCAACAGGATCTGGGCCTCTGACTTGCCATATTTATCGGCCAGGGCTTTGAGGTTCTTCTCTCCCCACCTCTCGCCTCGCACGAGAGGGCTATAAGCCTCGATGGCCACGTTGCGCTTCTGCAGCCACTGGACAATGTCGTTTCTCGCGCACCAAGGGTGAATCTCGTACTGGGCAACGTTGATGGCGCCGCCCTTTCCCGGACCTCCACGCTCTTCTTCGAGCTCCTTGATATGCGTTTCAAGCTCGTCGAGGTGATGCACACCATAGTTGCTGACGCCGATGGAGCGGACCTTGCCAGCCTCCTGGGCCTCGACGAGGGCTTTCCAAGCACCTTTGCGGCCGGCCGAGCCACCATACGGGCAGTGCAAGAGCATCAGGTCGACATACTCAAGGCCCGTCTCGTTTAAGGTCTTCTCTACCTGGTCCTTGGCGCCCTCGTAGTGGATATAACGGACCTTGGAGGTGAAGAAAATCTCGGGGCGGGAGACATCCTTAGCTTTGCGGATGGCTCCACCGGCGCCAGCCTCATTCTTGTAAGAGGCTGCCGAGTCAATCTGATGTTGGTGGTCAGAAGGGAGGTGGGAAATGCAGCACGGATGATGGGGCTCACATGACGGTAGCCGACCTTGATGGCCTCAGTGGTGACCTCCTCGGCCTGTTCAGGGGGACTGAGTTGGAATTGGTTACTGTGAAACTCGTAGTGGAAGGCATCCAAATGAACTCACGTCTTCCAGAGCTACGGGACTGTCAGCGACGTGCACAATATTCGCGCAAGAGGAGGAGTAGGGCGTACGCCATATCCCAACACGGGGATCTCATAGCCGTTGTTGAGCTTCTGCTTGGACTGGAGGGTGAGCGAGGCCGCCATTATGTGAATACAACGTGTTGGGGGGGTGACTCGTAGTGTCTGGTAATGAGGGTAAAGATCAAAAGTGAAAGAAGTATTTCCTCCGCCCTCAAGTAGTCGGAAAGTTGATTTAGTCGCACGGAACGTCCTTCCGAATAAGGCCATTAGTCATTGGAGCGAGGAGAAACGGCACCTCGCCCATTGTGTCCTCCGATGGCTGCGCGTTCGGTGTTGTTGTGCCGAGCTGTTGTGTGCCACAGGTCACATCCCGGGGTCATATCCTGCGAATCGCGTTGGGGCTGCCATGTAAGAACCTATGAACAGGCTTACGTCATTGGGGGAGGGGGTAACCCTAGGCCATTCCATGTTTTTACCCCGCCATCAATGCCCCGCCATCAATGCCCCGCCATCTGGCCATTCACCGATTTGAGACGCGCCGCGAGACTTTATGCAGACATTTCATCGTGATGCCGCTTTAGAAATCATTCATTCAATCATATGATCGTTCCTCCGCCAGCATCACCACCAGTGGCCTCGTCATCGTCCTCCTCGTCGTCGTCCAGGTCATGAATCGGGTATGACAGGATGGCGGCGACGCTGCCCAGCATGTCGAGCCTCTGACCGCTCTCGTGGTCGCTGCTGAGGATTCTGACCTCGCCACCGTCTGCCTTGACCTTATCGACCAGCCCCACATACTTTTTCCTTGTCGGAATGTCAGAGCTGCGGAACAGCGAGTTGTTCATAATGAGGACACCACCGCCAGGGCCGATGGCACCTTCATTGACGGCTTTGGTCACCGCCGACGCTCCATACCACGCCCGTCCGTCCTCTAACCGAAGTCTCTCGAAGAACTGGTCCATCAATTTTGTCTCCTTTGTAAACTTGAAGTCCTTCAGCTTGTTGCCCATCTCCGGACTCTTCAAGACCTCGTTGAGACTGTGAACATGACCCGAGTTTGTGTGGATGACGATGGCCTCCTTGGCAATCCCCGAAAGTTTCTTGTCAGCCTTGTCTCTGCCTTCATCTGCAATGTACTTCTTGAAGTCGGTTGCGACAAATCCCGGACTTGCAAGCAGTAACGGTCTCGGCTTGTCGAAGTTGACGGTTCGGAGGAGAGCGGTCAAGGTTTTGTCATAAAAGCGCCTCATGCCCTGGGAGGTTTCAGAGGCGGTGCTCCGCTTCTTGGGGATGATGCTCTCGACGCGCTGCTTGATGACGGTGCGAAACTGGCTGATGAGGCAGATGTTGGCGATGCCCTCCTGCATGACAATCGCTGCCATGGCGCCATCCTTGTCGTCCGACAAACTCTCGGAGAGCGTCTCCTTTGCGACCGTATCCCATCCCTCTGGTTTGCTTATCGTGAAGGGGCGCGAGACCTCGAGATCGAGGGTATGGTATTGGCCCATGCTGACGTAGGCATTCTCGGATTTGACGGTGCCGCTGACCTGCAGCTGGCCGACGATGGGATCGAAGAAGGTGCTCTTGACTTGTATTGCGAGGACGGTGTGGACTCGCTCGGAGATGGTGCTGCCTGTCTTTGTCTCCTGCACGACTTTCCGCACCGCGTGCGCCATAACGAGGTCGCCAGGACTGATGAGGTTGTAGGCGTGCCACTGTTCGCGCAAAGGGTTAGCTGGGAGCTGCGCGTCGCACACGGCGGGTTCGCGCAGGTTAGAAGGGGCGGGGATAATAATAAAAAAAGCGACGAGGGGGGAGACGCAAATCAGGCGACAGACTCACCATGTCCTCGGAGTCCTCTGGCAGGAGGGTGACGGCATCTTCGCCAATGTCCGTCGACGCCTTGGTTGGAACGAGCTTCATGGTTGATTGGCGATCCTATGTGTACATGTCATGGGAAGATTTTTTATGGTTGCGAAAGAGGAACAAACCAAAATAAAATTGCGAAGAAGCGCTCGTTGGTAGGTACTAACTAGGTACGTTATTGGAATTATCCCGACGCAGATTGGTAGATGATGCGCTAACCGCTGGGCTAGGGGGTGTGTGATGCTGCCACGCCCGGACTGGTCCAGCGGCTACCTTTAGGGAGCCACAGCGTTGCATCTCCACTTCAGTGACGGCAGAGCGAGGGTCAAAAGAAGAAGAAAGAAGAAGAAGACACTGACAGTGAATGCAGGTCGCTGGCTAGGTAGCTTATCATTATCGAAAATCAAGTACGATAACGATGATAGCTTGTGTATTGTTACGTGCCCAGCATCAGGTCAGGTCATACACTACAATTGAGCGCAACACCAAGACGTCAAAGTGCGTCCAAGGCGAGTCTATGCGTTGCTCTTTCAAAAGTATGAGCCATCACTGGTTGACTCGCCCTACTTTCCTGTCTTTCTTTTTATGCCCTTTGGTATAATTTCTGAGCAACCATCTTTAGCTCTAATGAGCTTCTGGCGAGAAACCGGCAAGGCAATTCGAACTGGCTTTTCTCTTCTACCCTCCATGATCCCGGCCGTTTGGGAGACGTACGTCAGACAAAACGTACCTAGTTGTCGAGGATTCGGAGACTTACTTGTTTATACCTTAGTTAGGTGGTTAGGTATGGGCTCGGGGAAACTCACCCAGCTACTGAGTGACACACTGGACGAATCCTCGACGCCTCAGAAAAGGTCCGAGCTGCCGAAGTCTTTTTTTTTCCCCTTTTTTTTCAGCCTTTAGCTCGATCAATCCATCAAAATCGCTCGGAGATTGGCTCTTGATCTGGATCACAGACGCAGGTGCTGTCACGGTCGAGGCGACCAAGGTTATCCTTTCCGCCCTCGACTCCAACCCGCCAGTCAGCTGGTGGTGTGTGCACACTCTTGGCCCGGAGGTTGAGCTTTGGGCATACCTAATCAGGCGACTCCTAGGTAGGTAGGTAGGTAGGTAGTCAAACGACGTCATGGCCGCGCCCAAATGTTCCCATCCATCACCGATGCTATGTTCTGATCCTCGCCTACTCGCCTGATGCCTATCACTTTACGGCGCAACCGATAGACGGGGCGAGCAACGGTTCTTGAGTAAGCCCAATACATGCATCGGATCCTTGGTTCTCATAGTTCCGGTGCCTAGCTGTAAAGCGTAACCAAAAGTTGGAACACCTTCGGGCCAAGAAGCGCGCTCGAAATCCAAGGGCTTGGCCCACTGCTTCTAGCTAGTGCCTTCCCTTCCTGTTACATCAGAAGAAGCAGACCTGCTGTTTTAGGTAAACCTCTCCTCTGTTGGCGCTCAGTCGCCCACTTCTTATCCGACCGAGTACTCATATGCCTGCATTGTTTCCTTCATATGAGATAACCCCCTCGCAAATGCATCATCACCAACATCATTTTACTCTGCACCGCATCCTTGCTTCTCATTTTCTCCCCCCCCCCCCCAACAGTAAGGAAGCTGTCGGGATCAGCCGCTAATCCGCAGCTTGCCTTTACTGCTTATACTAATCAATGTTTAGCCGATTCGACCCCTTCCTCTGGGTCACTTCGGTCCTACTTGGTCCCAGTCCTCGAGATTGAAAGGGTGTATGTAAGAGGTGTTGCCTGGCGCGCAATTACTCCGTATCCTGTACCCATTCCCAACCACCAAGAAACCATCGCGCACCCCGCGACGAGCCAGCGACACTTGGGTAAACACCATCATCCCACCCGAGGCGATACGCGCGCCGCGGCCAGGGTCTGCCCATTTTTACTTCCATTTTTTCACATCGCAGACGACGGGAACGAAAACACGCGTCCAAATCAGGCCATCCCTTCCGCGGCGACCGCAATACCCGCCACCAACTAAACTAACCCCGGGCTTTCCGCTGGACTGTCGGGATTATCCCACCCACCGCTGCCTCGGCCCCCATCCCATTTGTGAATTCCTGATCTTTCGGGTCGAGTGTATTACCACATCTTGAGCTGCCAAACCAACCGTCGCCAACCAACATATCTTGAATCTGGCACCAGCAACCTATCAGCTTATCCGCGCTGACTTGGCGCGCGCACGCATACAAACCAGAGAGCACAGTCCTAGCACTTCTTTTGACTGCTTCTTCTCCTCTGTCGGCACTCGCAAAATGGAAAATGTCGACCACTACATCCGCAATGAAGTCCATGGATGCTGGCCGTCGCAATGACGGCCAGGAGCCAAGCCCACCACCGCCTCCCGTCTCCGTCTTCGAGCCTCGACTTTCAACCCCCATTAGCCGCGAAGGGTCCTCAACCGCTCAGAAGTCGCCGGGCGGATCAGACTCTCATGGTACGTAAGCGCGTGCGGAGAAGCTCCCCTCCCTTTCTTCCTTTGCTTGCTTGTTGTGTTCTGGGATCCATTGGGACCACCTCATCTCTTCCGAGTTGCGTCTGGGGAAGCCAATAGACTATGAGTGGCGCAGACACAGCAGATGCTCATCGTGATATAGGCAGCAGCTTTCCTACGTTTGCCAAGAAGACACCCACGAAGCTCGTCCGATCTACAACCCCGAACGCAAAAGACGTCAAGCCTGCCAAGGCTTCGCCTGCTACCGTCCAATCCCCCGCCGCAATCGATCCGCTATCACAGGTTCGTTGTTTGTCGTTGGCATTAGTAGAGAGGTTGTATGCTAGATGCTAACCTTCCGCAGCACATCCTGATTCGAACAAACACCGATCACACCGTCCCTCTTCAGCTTCGGAGACGTCCCGAAAGCCCAAACCCTGACCCAGAACAACCTTCCAAGCTGCCGCCTTACACCTTTGATGCCAACAAAGACAAAAAGTATGTTCCACACTCGGCAGCCCTGATCGTATGGGCTCGACTAACTGTGCCGAAGGAAAGGGCCGTCGTTTCTGAGTCGATTGAACATACGAGGAGGGAGGCGACGCGACGATGACGAGGACTCTGTCTTCAGCGACCACCGAATCGACGGGACGAACGCCCAGGCATTTTCCTCAGCCATTGGCTCAGGATACATCCCTCACCACAAGGAGCCACCAAGATACATCCGGGTCAAGGCACATAACAAGAAAACACGCGAATTCAACCGCATGTTCCTTGCCCAGGAGCTGATAACTCCGGAATCCAAATCAACTAGCGACAAGAACACGGCCGTGATAGCGTCGATCGACACCGGGCGATTGAACAACAATGGGGCCATCTGGGCTACTGAATTCAGCACTGATGGCAAGTACTTTGCTGCCGCGGGCAAAGACCAAGTCGTGAGGGTCTGGGCAGTGATATCAACTCACGAAGAACGACGGCGGCATGAAGAGGAAGAAAATGCCAGAGGAGACCATGGAGAAAGGTTAAGTGCGCCTGTCTTTCGGAGTAAGCCAGTCCACGAGTTCCAAGGGCACACCGGTGAAGTACTTGACCTCAGCTGGAGCAAAAACAACTTTTTGTTGTCCTCTTCGATGGATAAGACTGTCCGTCTTTGGCACATGAGCAGGAAGGAGTGTCTTTGCACGTTCAAGCACAAGGATTTTGTCACCTCAATTGCATTCCATCCCACCGACGACAGATTCTTCTTGGCGGGATCTCTAGACTCGTCGCTACGTCTGTGGAGCATTCCCGACAAGGCGGTGGCCTATTCCACTCAGTTGTCGGACCTGATCACGGCAGTGGCCTTTTCGCCTGATGGAAAGACGGCCATTGCTGGAGGTCTCTCAGGAATGTGCATGTTTCATGACACCGAGGGCCTTAAGCAGACTACCCAGCTTCATGTTCGTTCGTCAAGGGGCAAGAATGCCAAGGGAAGCAAAATCACGGGCATCAAGACAATGGCCATTGATGACGAGGTCAAGGTCTTGATCACGTCCAATGATTCGAGAGTCCGCATCTACAACCTGCGCGACAAAAGTCTACAGTCCAAGTTCAAGGGCTACGAGAATACCTGCAGTCAGATCCATGCCGGTTTTAGCGACAATGGACAGTGGATTGTCTCTGGGAGCGAAGATAAGAGAACGTATATCTGGTCGGTGCATTCCGAGGACTCGGAAAGGGACAAATCTTGCGAGTATTTCGATGCGCATTCCGATCGAGTAACAACAGCAGTGTTTGCGCCAACAAAGTCACGGCAGCTCCTTGGCGGCTCGGGGGATCCTCTGTACGACCTTTGTAACCCACCGCCAGTGACTCTCATGAGCCTTCAAGAATCAATTGCCAGTCAAAAGGGCATTTCAGATGAAGAGAAACCGCAAATCAAGAAACCGGAGGAATCGCCAGCATACATTGAGAAGTCTAACCATTTTGACGGCCAGATTCTTGTGACCACGGATCAATCCGGTGTTATCAAGGTTTTCCGTCAAGATTGCGCATACATTAAACGGCGTCATGAGAGCTGGGAGACCGGCTCAACATTCTCTCGTCGGCTTGGAGGCAGCATCATAGGACGTAGTGGGAGTGTAGCGACGCGCACTAGTGTCGGCAGTCATCCTCGTTCTAGACGCGGGTCAATATCACGCCTGGCCGCCCCTGGCGCTGCTCAGTTGAGCTCGGACATCAATACTTGGCGGCATGGGATCGAGAATGGGCGCCCGAACTCCATGATCATCACTCCTTCGCAAAGCGAATACTCCTTGTCGCCTGGCAAACCATCGCAAACGCCCGTCAACGCAAGTGCTGCGAACATTGCATCTGGGGCACGAAGACAACCGTACGGGTCACCACAGACACGTCCGCAACTTCCGGCGAGTCCCACGTCGAGCCGGGCCTCCCGTGACCGGGCTCCTTCCATCCCACCCACTCCAAGTTTCTCGTTTCTCTCTGCAGACGACGACAGCGACGAGCTGCAACGCGACACTACAGGGCCCAATCATTCTTTCTGGAATCTTAACCGCTGGAAAGGGATCTCATCCCTGAGGTCATCCGTATCATTCAGCAAT